CGTGGTTGGTCTGCAGGCAGTATTCAAAATCCAACTAGTCAAGTGTCTAAAAAATTAAGAGCATTAAAATTCTGTGATTGTGTCTCCGACTTGAAGATGTTAGAGTAGACGGCTTCCGCGGGAAAACTAAAATAAAAGCAAAGTTTTAGTAAGTGTTATTTAATACTTTAATTTCTAATCCGCAAATCATAACAGGTTTGCACGTGGCGCGGTTACTCAACCGTTTTTGCGCACCCCAAAATTTGCTAACGGTTATTGGTAAAGAGTGACAGAAGGGTTGTAAAAAGAACAGTTTATTAAAAACTATTCGTTTATAAAATTAGGAATTCTGCGAAAGAAAAGCAGATTGAAGTATGAGAGATAACGCTGGTTGTGAAAGCAGAACAAAGTAATGCAAAAAAAAAATTGAAATTACAAACCGTAATTATATTGGCAGATGAACAAAACGTAGCGATATAGTCTTGATAAAGTCTCACATAGAGCAATTAATTAGCTTATAGTTCAATCTAATTAGAAGCAGAAACGGTTGAACCAAAAAGAGAAGCAGCTATACAGGAACAATTCGGAAGCTACAAGAGTCTTCACTAAGGCAGGTTGTTTGCAGAAAGCGACTCAGAAGCTCCTTTCAGTCAGCAGACTGTGGTTTCTCTAAGTCACCTTACGAACAGAAAGAACAATTTAAATGTTGCACTACGCGGACATACGACGGAAAACTAACAGATCAGAGCCTTTGTGTGGCATTAAAACTTTCAGCACTCCTCGGCTGGCGAATGCTTCCTACTTCTGCATCCTTGTTGCCTGAGAAATTTTAGAAACACAAGCTGCAAAGCGTCGGATTTCTCTGTCGTGATTTGGATCGCTTGGATATTGCTTTCTGACGCAGTAACAGCGGTCGTTAAGAACACACTGATGCAGTTTTTGTAAGTCGGTTTTATGCTGTAACACAGTATTCAGTCTCTGAATTTCATGAAAATTCGAAATTGATCTAATTTGGAGGTTTCAAACGTTGTCAGGTAGAGCCAATCGGTTAAACAAAGCTAAAGAGCACGAGACCCTTCTTAAAAATGACAGAAACGTCTTTGCTGTCTTTTTCGACTACAGAGTCGTCTGGCATTTTTCGTAGTGATAACCCTTTAAGTAAGAACTATCTTCTGCACCACACATTGGCATCCTGAGGCAAGTAAACAAAAATTAGATTTAAAAACTAGATTGCATGCATAACTTTTACGTTCTTCAAACAACACCATAGGCTTTTCTGCCACGTGAAACACTTGGGAAGGGACAAGTTCTAAGATATCACCAAAAAACTTCTTCGCACCGTAAATCACAGTCAATCTTCCAAAGAACTATTTGTGGACAAGTGGACTCGTTTGGCGCAGTTTGTTTCCTCAAATGGAGGCAGTTTTGAAAAAGTACTGAATTATTAGAAGCAGAGTAACAACCTAAACTCGCAACGCTCAAATAAATTTTGCTGCAATATGGCTTACTAATTCGTTATTTTTGTTAATGTATTGTCAAATAAATGTGAAAAGCAAGTTTCAAAGGAAACTTCTGAACGTTGTTAGATTAAGCCAATGTTGATTTCTTCACTTCAAGGCCATCCAAAACGTCGAATAATAAGTCCGACAACGAAAACGTTGGGTTTAGCGGAGGAAACCACTTTCATCATGTGCGTTATTTTAGTACAAAAGTTTTCCAAGATAACTTTTTCTGGTAAAGTTTCCTCCCGGCCAAAATTCTGATGAAAAAAAGCTTTTTTTATTTGTTATTAAAGGACATGACTTTTTATTAAAAGTAACAGCAGTAATAGCATGAGGGATCAGTGAGCTATTTGAGCGCCCAGTATCTAGTAAAAAATGTTACTTCCGTGACCGATTTGTAGAAAGTACAAAGTTCAACAAATCAGAAGTCAAACTAATTGAATATTTCAAAATGTTTTATTTTACAAACAATTTTATCCTTATTTTGAACCTGTTTCAAGTCCTAGTTACTGCTGGTAAGATTAAATTAGGATAAAATTAATACTTTCATTAGACAGTATTCGGCGCTTTGATTTCTTATTCACAGACCACTTACAGAAATTTTTCGGTATCTTTAATTCTAAACTGAACTGCTATGTTATATTGTGCATTTTAAACAAAAGAGTTCTT